GGCGCGACACTGCTCGGAGGATGGTGCTCGAGACCCAGCGAGGGTCAGCTCCCCTGAGAAAGAAAAAATAAAACAAAACCAAATGAAACGCGCTCTGATCCAGCGCGATGAAGCTCTGCGAGTCTCAATACTACTAATACGGCAAACGGCCAAGATGAATGAGCTGTCCTGATTAAACTACCTGTTGGGGAGACTCTGCAAGTGTCTGGTAGCGCAGTCCTCTCCCTCAAAAGAGGGACGAGCGTTCATTTTTAAAAGCAAGACCAACTAAAGTGTTACCCTTTGTTGTTTAAAAAAAATCTTAGGCTGTGTGGTTTTATATTATGTTTTTTTCATTAGGAAAAATGGAGCAATGTTTGGCTTTCCCAGTTCAGATACAAACACAGGTAGTGTAGCATGAACTCCTTTATTCAGGCAGTTTTGAGACATGAATTTAAAGTGGGTATAACTATTTTTGTGTGTTAAAGTATTAGTAGACAGGCTGTTTTATAAATAATGCCTAAATTTTGCTGCTTTGCTGCTCAACTGACTTTAAAGTTTTTTTTTTAAGTTGGGCTATGTTTGGAGAGAGGAAGCAGTTGAAAAAAAGAACTGTAAATCTTGAGTAAGATTTTATAGTTACTCTTCTCTTAGGTTAATCAGGATTTCTCCAGTGCTGGTAATATGAAGAAGAATTTTGCACTAGAGGCAGAGCAGTTCTGTGTTTATATTTCGCGAAATATAAGATCAGATAATGTTCTATAGAGTTCATGTAATTAGGGAGTACTCTAAACACAACCTTTGGATTTAACAATGAACTAACTGTAGGAAGTCTGCAGGTTTATGTAAAGGAGTTGCAAGGCTTGTATTATTCTCCCCAAATTGAAATTGTTTCAAAGGCTTAAATTGCTTACATTGGTATCTGGGAATGTATTATACCTGAAGTTATAGTAAGCATAGTGTATATCTTAGGGTTTCAAGATACAGAATAGCAGATGTATCCAAGGTGTGAGATCAGAAAGTTCATTTGAAAACCCATTTGAACTTGGCTTCGTTTTTATGTGTTCTCATACCTGAAATAATGCAAAAGTTAACTCTGGCATTTGAGTTATTTCCAATAATTCAGCAGCCATTGCAGTTGTATGGGGGACATAAACTGTTATGTTAATTCTTTTTTTAATTAATCTCTGTCAATTTGACAGACTTTCTAGTAATCATTTCCTCTTTTAATTTCTTGATTTTTTTTTTTTTTTGGTGCACATTTATAAAGATTGAGACCTTGTTTTGTGAAGACAGCGTTTGGATAGTCTTGAATTTCCACGTTTCCCTGAGGAGCTAGAAATATAATTAGGCAGTTCAGACAAAGCATAAGGAGGGAAGTAGAAGCACATAAAGGTGAAATTACTTCTTTAATATTGCATATCAAGTGAGACACAGAATTCTGGTTTTTTAATTTTTTTGTTTTTTTTTTTTTTTGGTGCACATTTATAAAGATTGAGACCTTGTTTTGTGAAGACAGCGTTTGGATAGTCTTGAATTTCCACGTTTCCCTGAGGAGCTAGAAATATAATTAGGCAGTTCAGACAAAGCATAAGGAGGGAAGTAGAAGCACATAAAGGTGAAATTACTTCTTTAATATTGCATATCAAGTGAGACACAGAATTCTGGTCTTTCAGTTTTCTCTCTGAAAGATCAGACTACTTTTTCTGTTAGAACTGGTTACGATGTTTCT